CCCTCCTTATATCCCTTTGTGTCTTTTTAGAAAATTGATCCTTTTTCTTCTGTAAAATCCAGGCTTGAAAAGCCCCCCAAAGTACAGCATTCACCCTTGGTTTAAAGCAAAAGGAAATAAAAATGTATTTTAAAGGAAGACAGGGGTGATATAATATGTAAGAATCTTTTGACTAGACTAGTATTGGTGTAAGGTAGTTTAAAAGAAAAAAACAGCTTGAGTTCTAAACTTAACCAGATGGAAATGTGCCTGCTGAGAGTTGGACCTAATTCAAAAAAGATTGTTAGCCAATAGGCAAGCCAATTTAGACCAGCATCTGCCAAAAATGGTCAATCAAGTTGTCCCAAGTGTGACTCCCCCATAGCAGATGTCACTGTCTCTCTGAAGGCTTTTGAGTGTCATCCTTTAGCATAGAGACATAGAGATGGGTTTAATACATGCACACATATACATAAATAAAACCTTGGCCTGTAGCCACTCTTCATTTTATTGCACTATGGCCCCATCAGTCTATCAGCAAAGAGCATAAGCCTTCTCCTTCTTTTAGGGCTTTTAAATGAGCACAGATTTTGCAAATCAAACCAAAGCTATAAGAATATACAATTAATTCCAAGCAACTATCTTTACTTTTCTCATCTGTTCATGTTCTTCTGTTGTATAAACAACAGAAATCTGAGACCATAATTGTCCACAATCTCATCACCTAATAAAAGTCAGTATTTTTATTTGTCCATGTTACCTTCTATTCCTTACCCTTTTGCTTGTTCAATGTTGACATTTTCAATTTTTTTGATATGGATCAGAAATAGAAAATCTCCCCCCTAAAAACAGGCACACACTAGAAGGGCTCTGTTTTCCCAAACCTGGACAACAAAGGGATACCCAAATTCAGTGATGACCTTTACAGTAAATAATGGAAAAGCTCCTTTCATATCCATTGCTTCATTACATCCTTATGACAAGCTTGCAAGGCAGACAGGACTCTAGGAGACTGAAAAAAGTAGAGGTTCTCTTGTCATCCCTTCTCCCTGGCTAAACCAGAATACAGCCCTTCCTAGGCGGAAGGCCAGTGTGAAGAGCTTCAGAAGCATAGAGGAGGCTTAGGTCATTTCTAAGTGAACTAAATGACATTTGAATGGATTATTGAAGGATGGGTAACATTTGGACCTGTAGAGATGCCAAGGGAGGGAATAGAAGTTAACATCCTTAGCAACAAGTCAGAAAATTATGTGACATATTCAGCAAACTGTTTGCTAGAGTGCAAGACACATGAAGATGAATCACAGGAAATAAGGCTGGAGAGATAGGCTGCAGCCAAATCATAGAAGGTCTTGAATGACATATTTAAAAGTTTAAATTGTTTTCAGTAGGTAGTATGGTTTTTTTAAGGAAAAATATGCCAAAGATTCCTTGCATTATTTGGGTTCTGTTATTCCCTAATCATGTGACCTTGGGCACATTAATCTCTGTGCTTCAGTTTCCTTGTCTGTGAAGTGGATATAATAACAATTCCTACTCCAGGGGATTATTGTAAAGATTAAGTGAGATAATGCATGTAAAGCACTTAGGACAGTGCCTGGCACACAGTAAGCAATATGTAAGTGCTAGTAATTATTGTTATAACAATTCCATCATCAGGCTCTGTTTCCTCAACTGTAAAATAAGAAAGTTGAACTATTTAATTTCTAAAGCCCCTTGACATCTTCAACACTGTTTATCATCATCATCTTCTTGCTCCCTCCTGGACTATACTATCCAAAACCCCACCTCTGGAATGGAGCGAAATTTGTCTTTTCATAAAGATAGAGATTTGAAACAGTGATCACCAGACCCTTAAATATTTCATTCAGATGAGTAAACTGCAAGTGTTTAACTGAGAACCTACAAGCTGACTTATCACGACCCCATTATGATAAAAAAATAGTTTGGATGAGAAACCCCCAAAATTGTTAGATGCTGTGGGCTGGAGAAGACCAGCTTGCTCTCAAAAACACAAAAACAAAAACAAACAAACAAACAAAAACAAAGCATAAATACAGGACAGAAATAGACTCACAGACAGAGAATACAGACTTGTGGCTACCAGGGGGGTGGAGGGTGGGAAGGGATAGACTGGGATTTCAAAATTGTAGAATAGATAAACAAGATTACACTGTATAGCACAGGGAAATATACACAAAATGTTATGATAAATCGCAGAGAAAAAATGTGACAATGAGTGTGTATATGTCCATGAATGACTGAAAAATTGTGCTGAACACTGGAATTTGACACAACATTGTAAAATGATTATAAATCAATAAAAAATGTTAAAAAACTCCCCAACCCACATACACACAACTGTGTAGATTATGAAGCACTTTCACATTTCATCATCACACCAACTCTGTGAGATTATTACTATCTCCATTTTTTATAGATGAGGAAATGAAGGCATAGAAAGGGTAATGACTTTCCCAAGGTCTCACAGATGGTTAGCGGTAGAACCAGTACTCAAACCCAGGTCTCTAATATTGTGCTAGTCATTACAACCACAAGTCACCACCTCTACTACATCAATAAGAGATCTAGCAACCTGTTAATTTGCTCAATTTAATTCAAAGAGGCAGACTGAGCTGCCAGAGAAATGCCCGTCCGTTTGGCTCTCAGTAGAAATACCATAATAATATAAACAACAGAACTTTGTGAGAAAGCAGTTGAAACCATTCCAAAAAAGTGAGATCTTTTGTTTATGTGAGAACTTTCTGCCCTTCCCCATTTGTGTGGGAAACTGAAGGTAGACATAAGCTTTGTTATTGTTGAGAATAAGCAGATGAAAGCAAGATCTGTATCTTCAGTTAAGATTCATGGATCAATGCTATAAATGAATAAAGAATATTTGCTATGTAAAGAGGTAATGTTTCAAGATATTAGAAGAATTGATCTCACACATTGGGCCTTGTTTTAAAGATGTGTCTTCTTATCTCACCCACTGAACTGTAAGCTCCTCAAGAGCAAAGAGGGCATCTTCCTTACCTGGGTCCCCTATAGTGGGAATTTGCCTTGAACTTTGAACATTATAGACACTAGATAAATAACTACTTGTTCAGTGAAACAATCAGGTCTTTTATTGGCTATAACTTAAGCCAGTGATTCTCATCCTGTTTCCTATGTTTGTGAAGTGAAGTGAGAAGGCCATTTTGTCCCCTCCCATAGTGAAAAATCATTAAGTGAAATTAAGTTTGTAAATCAAAGTGAACAGCTAAAATCTCTTGCAACCCTCACTGGCTCACATTTGTGATCTTTAAAAGTTCCTGCATTTTTTTGTTTCTCTCTTTATGTAAGAACAATAAAACAAAGGTATATAACCTATATAACCTTGTAATAACCTATAATGAAAAAGAATATATATAACTTAATCACTATGCTGTACACTGGAAACTAAAACAACATTGTAAATCAACTATACCTCAATAAACATAAATTAATTTTTTTAATTTTAATTAAAAACTAAAAAACAGAGTTTTGTGGAAAGGTAAAACAAAATGAAGATTTTTTTTAATTGAGAAATCTCTACATAGTAAAAAAAAAAAAAACTCAAGCAGCTCCAGATGCCAATGATCATTTGTGGGCTACACCCTAATAATAACAACCATTATTGATCACTTATTATTAAAGAAAGTTATCCCGCTTAATCGTTATTGCAATCCATTTTATATCTGGTGAAACTTTACTTCAGTTAGTTTAAGGAGCTTACCTAAGGTCACAAGGGATCTGAACCCCCAAGACTGACTGATGCCAGAGCCAGTGACCTTGACTATGTTACATGCCTCTTAAAGTCTTTGTTGAGGTTTCCTACACCTGGAGAAAAGTCATCATGTGGGGAAATTGACCCTAAAAGAAATCATGAGATAAAGAATCACCTTTAAAGATAAACATTCTGACTGTATCAAAAGAGATTGTAACTTTAAATTTTAAGCAGTTCAAAAATTGATTAAATAAAAATGATCAATAGTTTGTTATTTTAAAAGGATATTTACTATAAGTAGTTAGTTTCTGATCTTATGTTCATTTTTCCAGTGCAAGGTACTATTTGTACTTTTTGTTTTGTACTGAAAATTGCTATTAGTACTTCATCAGAAAATGACCTTTTCCCCCCTTTAACTGTCATTTTAAAACACTTCTTGCATTCTGGAGTGTGTGGTTTTAAAATTATCATTTGGTCCCAATTTTTTCTATTATGGAAGCCCATCTCTGGTTTTGTAATGAGAGGCATTGAAAAAGTGATTTGATTAACAAATGTGCTTTATGGTAAGGCAGATTTTATTTAAAGTAAATATATTTAAATCACAGGTTAGGAAAACTTGATATCATAGAACCATAAAATATTGGCATTGGAAGGGAAATTAGAGGTCATTGAGACCAACCCTCTATTTGACGCATGAATCAGATTATTAACTACAACATCCCTGACATTTTTCTTGGAAAAGTGCTTTCTTGTTGTTTGCTATAGCCTTAATGCAGGTTCTTCAACTCAGCAGTAGATGTAGGCTTCATTTTAAAAGGTACACACTAATACACTTTAAAGCAATGACTCATTTTTTAAAACTCTTTTCAGATTGATACTGCATCTACATAAGGAAACTAAATAATGAATTTTTTTTATTTGCCAAGGCCAATTGAAGTAGATGCTTGTGAGGTCACTGGGAGGCAAGTCATTTACTATTCAGCAGGTTAATCATGAATATTGGTGACTTATTTTTGCTAGACTGTATTAAAAAAGAGAATTAAAGTTTTATTTTAACAAAAACAACCAGCTTATTTTGTTTTGTTTTGTTTTTCCTTTGCTAAAATACATGTAATTATTTTAACAAGGCATGGGTATGAGCTCTCAAATTGTTTACTTAATGATAAGTGTGTGTGTGTGTATCTAGTTAACCATAATTTTAAATAAAATCAGGTCCCTTTTCATTCAAAAAACTAAAAGTATTTTATGTAAAGAACTCAGTTTTCATCTTCACCTTCCTCTTTGTACATGTGAAATATTAATATTAATTTTATATATTTTTCAAATATCTTCTCAAAAATGAATGTGTCTAATGGGAGAAAATAATCCTTCTTTATCTGTATAAGATTTCTGGTACTAAAACCTAGATCACTGTGAGCATCTGAATCCAGGTGTTTATGAGGTTTCTATCCATTTACCAGTGTGACTTGCTGAAAGCCTCAATAACAAGATTATGTTGTTGAAGGATTGATCACTGACAAATATTTTCTGAGTGTCTGCTTTGCACCAAGTGCTGTGCTAGAGGCTAAGGATGTAAAGATGATTCGAACTTAGACCCAGCTCCTACTGCTGAGTTTAGTGGGGAAAAGATGTTTCTTAAAAAGCAATCATAATGTAATGTGCTTGTAACAAAGGATTGTACACAAAATAGAGAACAAATTGTCTACCTCTGCCTTGGGAAGGCTTCACAAAAGAAGATACTTGTGAATTGAACTGATAGACCAGGCAGAGAGCATGGGAAGGACATTTCAAGCAAAGGGAATAAGATGTACAAAGGCACGGGGGTATGAATAAGCATTGCATATTAGGAAAATTTTAAGATGGTTGGTAATGACTGGAGGGTACACATATGGGAATTAAGTGGTAGGAGATGAGGCTGAAAAGATGGATCAGATATAGACTGTAAAAAGCCTTGTATGCTGAAGATGTAAGGATGCTTTTCCTGTCAGCATTGAAATGCCATTAATGGTTTTTCAACAAGGGAATGATACTATGAGTTTTATATTTTAAAAAAGATCACACCAGCTGTGATATGGAAGATTAAATCGAGTCAACAAGACCTAAAGTAGCAAAACTAGTGAGGTTTCTTTAATAGTCCAGAATGAGGGTTTGACCTACAACAGTGGCAGTAGGGGCATAAAGGAGAAGGACATATTCAATACAGATTTCTGAGGTAAAATAGGTTTGGATGAGGGAGAAAGAGGAGAAAGGATGACTCTGAGATTTATAGGGGACAAGATGGAATTGTAGGGAAGGTAACAAGTTCATTTTGAAGTACCTGTAGGATAGATAGGTAAAGAGGATATGTTGGCATACTTATTTAGTTCAGAAATATTTACGGATAGTGTTATGGAAGGATGCTTGCTAGACATTTATATCAGATTCTGTCTTTCAGTTTTGGCCAGGACCAACTGTTGAAAATTCTCTCAGAGAGAGACAGAGTCACATGCTCTAGTATGAATGTACTTTGTAAACTTTTGAGACCTATTGATTTGCTGAGAAAACTTTTCTAAATTGTTTTACTCTAGGTAATTAGGAACTATCATTTCTATTCCACATGAATCTCAGAATACACATACATTGGTTTCCCACTGCATATTGGGTAAGTGTCTACTTTCCAGGCCAGGCCCTATGCTAGATGCTGGGGATACTAGGATGAGTAAGATTTAGTCCCAGGCCCCTAAATGCTCAGAGACTAGTAAGAAGTATGTAGAGACATTTCTGGGATTCCCTCAAACTTTGAAGTTATCTCCTTGTTCTCCTAAAGTTTAACTAATATTTGGGGAGAAGGTGGGTGTTTTGAAAAGAGACCATAGTCTTTCTGACTTAAAGTGATGCCAAGATAAAATTCTCACAGAGAGAGACTTCAGCTTCATCATCTATTGCTTTACAATCTTATCACAAGAAGTGGGCTGTCAGTTTGGACTTAGAAATACTTGTGTCATGTAGAGTTTGCCATCATTTGTAGAGAACAGAATTCTACCTACAATGGCTAAAACATCAAGGTCTTAAGGCACTTATTTTTTTACCACACTGATTCTATTTTTTTCCTCAGATGTGTACTTTATTTTTTCTCTCTATGTGAGTAATGGAAGCCCTCAAAACAAAGTGACCTTTAAGAATATGCATGCTGAAACAATGACTTAGGTTGTTGTGCTTACTCTTATGCCAAATAGTGTCTCTTTTTTTTTCTTTCTTTTAAAAAATGTTTATTTTCTCATATTTTAAAACTTTTTTCTTGAATTTTTTATTTCATCTCACTTGATGCAGAGAAAGCATTTGGCAAAATCTAATACCTTTTCATGAGAAAAACATTCAAAAAACTAAGAATAGGAAGGAACTTCTTCAACATGATAAAAGTCATATATGAAAAACTCACAACTAACATCATACTCAGTGATGGAAGACTGAAAACTTTCTCTTAACATCAGGAACAAGGTTGCCCTCCTTTCACTACTTGTATCCAGTATTATAATGGAAGTTCTAATCAGATCAATTAGACAAGAAAAAGAAATTAAAAGCATCCAAATTGGAAAAGAAGCAACACTATTCCTATGTATAGTGGATATGATCTTATATTTCAGAAACCCTCAAAAATCCACAAAAAACTATTAGAGCTAGTAAGTTCAGCAAAATTACAAGACACAAAATCAATGCACAGAAATCACTAGTATTTTCATCTAGTAGCAATGAATAATCCAAAAATGAAGTTAGAAAAACAATTCCATTTATAATAACATCAAAAATAATAAAATACTTAGTAGGAATAAACTTAACAAAGAAGTACAAAACTTGTATCTCTGAAAACTAGAAAATACTGTTATAAGAAATTAAAGAATACCTACATAAATGACAAGACATCCCATATTCATGGATTGAGATATTTAATATTGTCAAGATGGCAATACTCCCCAACCTGATCTATAGATCCTTGTGAAAATTCCAGCTGGATTCTTTAGAGAAATTGATAAGCTGATCATAAAATGCATATGGAAATTCAGTGAACCAAGAATAGCCAAAACATTCTTGAAAAAGAACAAGTTGGAGGATTCACATTTCCCAATTTAGAAACTTACTACTAAGGTACAGTAATCAAGACAATGTGTTATTGGCTTAAGGATAGAAATGTAGATCTGTGGAATACATTTGAGAGCCCAGAGGAGAAAAAAAACATTTATGTTCACTTGATCTTCAACAAGGGTGTCAAGACAATTGAATGGGGGAAATAATAGTGTTTTCTTTTTTTAACATTTTTTATTGATTTACAATCATTTTACAATGTTGTGTCAAATTCCAGTGTTCAGCACAATTTTTCAGTCATTCATGGACATATACACACTAATAGTGTTTTCAATACATGGTGTAGGACAACTTGGATAACCATCTGCAAAAGAATGAGGTTTGACACCCACCTCGCACCACATAAAAACACTAACACAAGATTGATCAGAGACCTAAAAGTAAATGCTAAAACTATAAAACCCTTAGAAAATGTGAATAAATCTTCGTGACCTTAGATTAGACAATAGTTTCTGAGATAGGGTATGAAAAGCACAAGCTAATGAAAGAAAAAACAGATAAATTGAACTTCATCAAGATTAAAATGTTTTGTATTTCAACGGGTATCATTAAGAAAGTGAAATGATAACCTGAAGGATGGGAGAAAATATTTGCAAATCACATTTTTGCCAAAGAATTTTTAAATAGAATACACAGAGAATTCTTGCAAGTCAATAATGAAAAGACATATAACCCAATTAAAAATGGTAAAGGGGTCTGAATAAACTATTTTCCAAAGAATATATGCAAATTACTAATAAGTACATTAAAAGATGTTCAACATCATTAGCCATTAAGGAAATGCAAATGAAAACTACAATAATATACCATTTCACAGCCCCTAGGGTGGCTATAATCTAAAAGACAGTAAGTGTTGATGAGGATGTGAAGAAATCAGAACCTTCATACATTGCTGGTGGGAATGTAAAATGGTACAGCTTCTTTGGAAAACAGTCTGGCAGTTACTCCAAAGATGAAACATAGAGTTTTCATATAACTTAGAAATTGCACTCCCAGGTACAAAACACAAGAGAAATGAAAACAGAAACTTGTACATGGATGTTCATGTCAGTATTATTCATAGTAGCCCCCAAATGGAAAAAAAACCCCTAGATATCCATCAACTGATGAATGGATAACTAAAATATGGTATATCTATATGATGAAATATAAATTTAAAAGGAATGACGTTCACAACGTTGTTTGACCCATTTAATTATATAAAATGTTCATAATAGGCAAATCTGTAGAGACAAAAAATAGATGAGTGGTTGCCTAGGCTCAGGGACAGATCGGGGGAAATGGAAAGTTACTGCTAACGTTACAGGGTTTCTTGTTTCTTTTGAGGGCAATAACAGTGTTCTAAAACTGATTGCACAACTCTATGAATATACTAAAACCATTGAATTGTACACTTTAAAATGGTGAATTGTTTGGTATATGAATTATATCTCAATAAAGCTATTATTTTTAATTTAAAAAACCATAGCCAGTTGAAAGCATGGGAGAAGAGAGATGTGAATGTTGCTGAAAATCACTGGTGTAACTGGGGCAACTGAGGTTAGGTGGTCCCTGGTGATTATCGAAAGAGAGAGAATATCCAGGAGTTGGAAAAATAAATTCTACAAAGTAAATTACTGGGCAGATATTAGAATATTGTAACCAAATTATGTTCAAGTGTTGCCAGGAAATGTGCTCATGAGAACAGTCCTGTCAGCTGAAGCTTATCTTCCACCATTTCCTTCTTTCTTGTGGCGCTTAGCTGTCAACCTCTCCTATTTCAGAGCTGCTACAGCAGCTGCTGCCATCACTGCCACCACAGCCAGTGTATGCCAGAGATGGTGCTACTACCGGGAGCTGATGTTAAAGCCTCATTTTCTGCACCCTGGGTCTTCTTTTAGCCGGGATATGCCTCCATTTTTAGGCTACATTTAATTAAAAAGTTCCCAAAGCAGGGTTTCCTCATGTTTTGTTTTTTTTTTTTAATCTGCTGTTTTTGGCAAAAGAGATGTCACTATTTCTCCTCCTGTTGCACACTTTCTAAAATTCAGACTTAAGTGTCCCAAGGTCTGGGCCAAAGAACAAGCTAAGTGGTAGACACTGCAACTAGTACTCTATTCAGTTTTACCTTTCTTTCTCATGCTACCCATCCAACTTTGTGGACATCAATTCTCTTTTTTCTCCTT